TGTACCTTTGACCCTCAGTTTAATAACAGTATTGACCAACCCTCCCTCCCAGGAAGCAGCCTGAGGAGAAAAGAAACTGTTCTGGGATGAGGGCTGCCCTCCCATTCAAGGTCATTCAAGGTTGAGAGATCTCCCTGGCAGCCCTGTGATTACATTAGTAACCTGCAGGAGTCACTTGATTCATTCTCTTCCTCTGCTTAAGTCCGGATTTTTTTTTGAATTTTTTTACATTCCTTTGGCCACATTCTCCCATAGGTGAGCCAGCTTTTCTTTTCTTGGGACAGAGTAAACACTTGCCTGTTGCCGAAGTTCCTGTTCAGACTGAGGCGAAAGGATTTGAATTTGCTAGGTGTTTAAATGGGCACAAAAAGGTAAATTTAATGTACAAGGAATGTGGATAATATCAGAAAGGTGACTTCCTCACCCTGCCCAGGGTGAAGGGGAGTTGTAAAGGAGGTAGGTAGTTTCCTACAACTGATAGGCCTCTAAGATGGCTTGGGGAAAGGGGGGTAGGGAAGAGAGGTGGGGATGAGATGGGGAGAGAGTTCTGGAATGGGCATTGAGGCCACATGGAAGAGCTGGATTTGACAATGCAAATCATCCAGTAGCCACAAGATTTTTTTTTTTTTTCTCTAGGAAGAGTCCAAGGCCAGGGTGCCTACTGACTCTTGTGTGGCTCTCATAGAGGAGGCTTCTCACATTCTGTTGTGGTTTTGTTTTTGGATAAACGTGAGGTTGGGAGCCATATGACTAGCTGGGACTGTGTGTGTAGAAACTGGCTGTGCTTGGGGCTGATATTTCATCTGATTGACCAGAACTATGGTTTGTCTTCAGCTAAATATGGGGGACTATTTTCCTTCCTTGCCTTTAACACAGTTCTAAGTGGAAAGAGCACAAAGATGCAGGGTCTTCCTGCTGCTTTTATCAAAGCAATGGGATCTGTGGATGCTCTGACTTCAATCCATGCACTCAGGTAATGACCTGGTTCTTCACCAGCCATACAAATGATGGGCTATTGCAGAAACATCAAATCCACCTTTGAGGACTGCTGACAACCTTTTCTCCCCCAGCATCAGAAACTATTGTAAAGCAATTTCATTGCTAAACTGACAATACTTGTATCAGCTAGATGAATTTTTTCCTTTATTCATGTGTTATCTTTGGTCACTGCTAATGACTCTGAGTGGAATCCTTAAAAAAGAATAGATCAAGGACGCTTGCTTTGTCTGAACATCCATCGAATTACATAAGGTTTTGTGCTTATGATCCTATCAAGAGAAAATAGGAAAGTTCTCACCCACTACCTCTACTGTGTCTCAGTGCCCAGTCAAAAAGGGGTTGAATAAGAAAGTGTGTGAAATAGATATACATGTATATATCATACTGTTTGTTTATTGAGGGAGAGTTGAATCAATGTTTAGTATTTAAATATAAATTGTCCCCTTAGAAGGGAGAAAAGAACACAACAGAAAGCTTGTGGCATACTCAAGAACAGTCTGTGTTTCAACACAGTCTGTGGAAACAATTACCTATTTACCTTATGATGGCATGGGTCATGGACACAATCCTGTAATGCTGTCTTCTCTACAACTCCAGAACAGATGTTCCCAGCTCTGGACAACTGGTAACATAAACCTAGGCCAATTTGTTCTCATCTTTGTATTGTGGTTGTGCAGATATTTGGGATTCTTCTCTGTAATACTACCTCCATTTTGTGGTCACGTTTTTCATCTGTGGCTCTGAGTAGTGTTCACAGAAAAAGAAATGATCATGGGGAGGAAAGGGGCTGTGAAGGGTTGAGGCACAAAGAAGTGATGTGACTTGCCCAGTGGATCAGTGAAGATTAGTGGTGGCATGAAGATGGAAATATAGAAAGATTCCTGAGATCAGTGGATTATGCCAAACTAACTAAATCACACCACTAAGGAAAGATGCTTTCTAAAGGCTACTGAATCTTCAGAACAGGAAACTTGTCTTGGTTGCCCAGACATAAACAAGTTGTGATGGTACTTTTTGTGTGCTATGAAGTTGTTCTTATTTTGTCTTGTTTGCAATCCTGGCATGACTGGCATATGCTGAACAGTTTAGATCAGAACTCCTACTATTGTACTCTTCTGGAAAGAATGATGCAGTTTGTTTTCTCTTGCTCTCTGACTTGCAGAATTTAGATGAAATGTGTTCTTTTGGTTGTTTGGGGTTTTTTTTTGGGGGGGGGGGGGGGGTTGTTGGGTTTTTTTGGCAGACTATCATGGATGACCTGGTGGGAGTCATGTCTTTGTCTTTCCCTGAAATACGACAATGCTAGTATCCAGGGTAAGCAGCATAGTCTGGCACACACACTACTCACTTTGCTGTCATTTTATGATGTCCATGTCATAGGATCTGGGTTGCATTAGAAAGAACCGCAAGTTAGAGTACAAAAGCATCAAGGAATGATGATGGGAACCAGAAAACTCACGCAAAACTGGAATTTATGGAAACAAAAGCAGAATCACATGCTGTGGGGAAAATGGAGGAAGAGCTAGTTGTGCAACACTGGGGTAGCAGAAGGATGTGGGGCTAAGTCCAGTCCTTCATTGGTTTAGACAAGGATAGTGTCTGCCCTTGCCAGAAATGCGTGGAAGAAAGAGGAAAAAGATGCCAAGGAACAAAGAGAAGCCACGGGTAATTAGAGCAAAGGAGCAAATATGAACAGGAATCTCTTTGTCCATAAGACAAGCCCAGACTGTACCACACAAACATCCTGAATCTTGATTAAGTCAATTCAGCTTGCTGGTGCAGTGAGATACTCTCTTGTCTGAATAAAAACATCACAGCCTGACTTCTACTCCTCTGTTGAATAGCTTTGCAAATAATACCACGTTAGTTTGGGTAAAGTAATATCTGAGGGATCTGGCTCCAGAATGAGAGAAATTTCTTCTCTCACCTGTTCCTGCCTGGTTTCTACACATCTCAGTAGTGCTGGGTTGCAAATGTTCCTACCGAAAGAAACGCCTCCATTTTGTAATAACAACAGTAATTAAACAAAAAAAAAAAAAAAAGAAGCAATCCTGTAGTAGCATTTCTGAGGTCTTAAATACAGGATGATTTCTAAAACGACAGCGATGGCCTTAGCAGAGGCTCCTCGCCCCGTTCCCGGGAGGCAGCTGCGCGGCTCCGTGCTGGGTTGCAAATGTTCCTACCGAAAGAAACGCCTCCATTTTGTAATAACAACAGTAATTAAACAAAAAAAAAAAAAAAAGAAGCAATCCTGTAGTAGCATTTCTGAGGTCTTAAATACAGGATGATTTCTAAAACGACAGCGATGGCCTTAGCAGAGGCTCCTCGCCCCGTTCCCGGGAGGCAGCTGCGCGGCTCCGCTCCCCTCAGGCAGGTGGGGAGACGTCTCCCTACAAGCC